AAGATATTAAGATATTAAGATATTAAGATATTAGATATTAAGATATTAAGATATTAGATATTAAGATATTAAGATATTAAGATATTAAGATAAGATATTAAGATATTAAGATATTAAGATATTAAGATATTAAGATATTAAGATATTATTAGATATTAAGATATTAAAGATATTAAGATATTAAGATATTAAGATATTAAGATATTAAGATATTAAGATATTAAGATATTAAGATATTATTAAGATATTAAGATATTAGATATTAAGATATTAAGATATTAAGATATTAAGATATTAAGATATTAAGATATTAAGATATTAAGATATAAGAATAAAGATATTAAGATAAAGATATTAAGATATTAAGATATTAAGATATTAAGATATTAAGATATTAGATATTAAGATATAAGTATAAGATATTAAATATTAGATATTAAGATATTAAAGATATTAAGATATTAAGATATTAAATAAGATATTTAAGATATTAAGATATTAAGATATTAAGATATTAAGATAAAATATTAAGATATTAAGATATTAAAGATATTAAGATATTAAGATATAAATAAAGATATTAAGATATTAAGATATTAAGATATTAAGATATTAAGATATTAAGATATTAAGATATTTAAGATATTAAGATATTAAGATATTAAGATATTAAGATATTAAGATATTAAGATATTAAGATATTAAGATATTAAGATATTAAAGATATTAAGATATTAAGATATTAAGATATTAAGATATTAGTATTAAGATATTAAGATATTAAGATATTAAGATATTAAGATATTAAGATATTAAGATATTAAGATATTAAGATATTAAGTATTAATATTAAGATATTAAAGATATTAAGATATTAAGATATTAAGATATTAAGATATTAAGATATAAGATATTAAGATATTAAGATATTAAAGATATTAAGATATTAGATATTAAGATATTAAGATATTAAGATATTAAGATATTAAGATATTAAGATATTAAGATATTAAGATATTAAGATATTAAGATATTAAGATATTAAGATATTAAGATATTAAGATATTAAGATATTAAGATATTAAGATATTAAGATATTAAGATATTAAGATATTAAGATATTAAGATATTAAGATATTAAGATATTAAGATATTAAGATATTAAGATATTAAGATATTAAGATATTAAGATATTAGATATTAAGATATTAAGATATTAAGATATTAAGATATTAAGATATTAAGATATTAAGATATTAAGATATTAAGATATTAAGATATTAAGATATTAAGATATTAAGATATTAAGATATTAAGATATTAAGATATTAAGATATTAAGATATTAAGATATTAAGATATTAAGATATTAAGATATTAAGATTAAGATATTAAGATATTAAGATATTAAGATATTAAGATATTAAGATATTAAGATATTAAGATATTAAGATATTAAGATATTAAGATATTAAGATATTAAGATATTAAGATATTAAGATATTAAGATATTAAGATATTAAGATATTAAGATATTAAGATATTAAGATATTAAGATATTAAGATATTAGATATTAAGATATTAAGATATTAAGATATTTAAGATATTAAGATATTAAGATATTAGATAAGATATTAAGATATTAAGATATTAAGATATTAAGATATTTAAGATATTAAGATATTAAGATATTAAGATATTAAGATATTAAGATATTAAGATATTAAGATATTAAGATATTAAGATATTAAGATATTAAGATATTAAGATATTAAGATATTAGATATTAAGATATTAAGATATTAAGATATTAAGATATTAAGATATTAAGATATTAAGATATTAAGATATTAAGATATTAAGATATTAAGATATTAAGATATTAAGATATTAAGATATTAAGATATTAAGATATTAAGATATTAAGATATTAAGATATAAGATATTAAGATATTAAGATATTAAGATATTAAGATATTAAGATATTAAGATATTAAAAAGATATTAAGATATTAGATATTAAGATATTAAGATATTAAGATATATTAAGATATTAAGATATTAAGATATAAGATATTAGATATAGATATTAAGATATTAGATATTAGATATTAAGATATTTAAGATATTAAGATATTAAGATATTAGAATTAAGATATTAAGATATTAAGATATTAAGATATTAAGATATTAAGATATTTAATTGATATTAAGATATTAAGATATTAAGATTATTTAAGATTTATTTAAGATATTAAAAAGATATTAAGATATTGAAGATATTAAGATATTTAAGATATTAAGATTATTAAGATATTAAGATATTAAAGATATTAAGATATTAAGATATTAAGATTATTAAGATATTAAGATATTAAGATATTAAGATATTAAGATATTAAAGATATTAAGATTATTAAGATATTAAGATATTAAGATATTTAAGATATTAAGATATTAAGATATAAGATATTAAGATATTAAGATATTAAGATATTAAGATATTAAGATATTAAGATATTAAGATATTAAGATATTAAGATATTAAGATATTAAGATATTAAGATATTTAAGATATTAAGATATTAAGATATTAAGATATTTAAGATATTAAGATATTAAGATATTAAGATATTAAGATATTAAGATATTAAGATATTAGATATTAAGATATTAAGATATTAAGATATTAAGATATTAAGATATTAAGATATTAAGATATTAAGATATTAAGATATTAAGATATTAAGATATTAAGTATTAAGATATTAAGATATTAAGATATTAAGATATTAAGATATTAAGATATTAAGATATTAAATATTAAGATATAAGATATTAAGATATTAAGATATTAAGATATTAAGATATTAAGATATTAAGATATAAGATATTAAGATATTAAGATATTAAGATATTAAGATATTAAGATATTAAGATATGTAAGATATTAAGATATTAAGATATAAGATATTAAGATATTAAGATATTAAGATATTAAGATATTAAGATATTAGATATTAAGATATTAAGATATTAAGATATTAAGATATTAAGATATTAAGATATAAGATATTAAGATATTAAGATATTAAGATATTAAGATATTAAGATAATTAAGATATTAAGATATTAAGATATTAAGGATATTAAGATATTAAGATATTAAGATTATTAAGATATTAAATATTAGATATTAAGATATTAAGATATTAAGATATAATTTAAGATTATTAAGATTAGATATTAAGATATTATTAAGATATTAAGATATTAAGATTATTAAGATATTAAGATATTAAGATATTAAGATATTAATATTAAGATATTAAGATATTAAGATATTAAGATATTAAGATATTAAGATATTAAGATATTAGATATTAAAGATATTAAGATATTAAGATATTAAGATATTAAGATATTAAGATATTAAGATATTAAGATATTAAGATATTAAGATATTAAGATATTAAGATATTAAGATATTAGATTTAAGATATTAAGATATTAATGATATTAAGATATTAAGATATTAAGATATTAAGATTAAATATTAAGATATTAAGATATTAAGATATTAAGATATTAAGATATTAAGATATTAGATATAAATTAAGATATTAAGATATTAAGATATTAAGATATTTATAAAGATATTAAGATATAATATTAAGATATTTAAAGATATTAAGATATTAAGATATTTAAGATTAAGATATTAAGATATTAAGATATTAAGATATTAAGATATTAAGATATTAAGATATTAAGATATTAAGATATTAAGATATTAAGATAAAGAATTAAGATATTAAGATATTAAGATATTAAGATATTAAGATATTAAGATATTAAGATATTAAGATATTAAGATATTAAGATATTAAAGATATTAAGATATTAAGATATAAATAAGATTAATATAAGATATTATAAAGATATTAATATTAAGATATTAAGATATTAAGATATTAATATATTAAAGATATTAAGATATTAAGATATTAAGATATTAAGATATTAAGATAAAGATATTAAGATATTAAAAAGATATTAAGATATTAAGATATTAAGATATTAAGATATTAAGATATTAAGATATTAAGATATTAAGATATTAAGATATTAAGATATTAAGATATTAAGATATTAAGATATTAAGATATTAAGATATTAAGATATTAAGATATTAAGATATTAAGATATTAAGATAAATTAAGATATTAAGATATTAAGATATTAAGATATTAAGATATTAAGATATTAAGATATTAAGATATTAAGATATTTAGATATTAAGATATTAAGATATTAAGATATTAAGATATTAAGATATTAAGGATATTAAGATATTAAGATATTAAGATATTAAGATATAAGATATTAAGATATTAAGATATTAAGATATTAGATATTAAGATATTAAGATATTAAGATATTAAGATATTAAGATATTAAATATTAAGATATTAAGATATTAAGATATTAAGATATTAAGATATTAAGATATTAAGATATTAAGATATTAAGATATTAAGATATTAGATATTAAGATATTAAGATATTAAGATATTAAGATATTAAGATATTAAGATATTAAGATATATTAAGATATTAAGATATTAAGATATTAAGATATTAAGATATTTAAGATATTAAGATATTAAGATATTAAGATATTAAGATATTAAGATATTAAGATATTAAGATATTAAGATATTAAGATATTAGATATTAAGATATAAGATATTAAGATATTAAGATATTTAAGATATTAAGATATTATTAAGATATTAAGATATTAAGATATTAAGATATTAAGATATTAAGATATTAAGATATTAAGATATTAAGATATTAAGATATTAATATTAGATATTAAGATTTAGATATTAGTATTAAGTATTTTTTATTAAGATATTAAGATATTAAGATATTTAAGATATTAGTATTAAGATATTTATTAAGATATTAAGATTTTAGTTGACCATACTTACGTTCTGGAAATATATATATGCTGCTAATGTGGGAAAGAATGTTGTCGTATTTTTCTTTTTCGCTATCATAAGTTAATAGTCTTGATTATGATCGTAATAGTTTTGAAATTTATTAACAGTATTGCCATCATCTGCTTGCATTTGCGATGAAGAATTTTCATCATTTATATCGTGTGTCTTTGCACTATCTTTTATTGCAGATTTTGAGAATTCTTTGAGATTTGCTTCTTCAGTTTTCGGCATATGTTTTGCCGTTGATACGTTATAATCTTTGTAAAAATTATCTAATATGTTTTGTGGCACTGAGATGGGTTTTGTTATGTTTGGAAGTATCTTTAAATTTAATCTCATGAGTATATGCATTTTAATCGATTCTAGGTTGTCGAGCTTCGCTTTCTCACGCAACTGACGATGAAGCATACTCTCTATATTGAGTAAGGAATTGTGATAAATGGAAACCCTTGATGGGATACAGACACCTTCTTTTGTTGTACACTTATTTGGTTAATGGCCGTGTCCTTTTCACAATTTGATCGTAATCGTCCTTTCTCGGAGAAGTCGTAAAAGATATATTTTTATTAGCATTTGAATGGTCGCTAGTAGAAATTTGAAGACCTTGTGTTTGACCATAGGCGATATGTGTAGTCGCCAACACTAAAGCACAACGACAGCCAACATCGTTTCACAAGGATATGGTGGTATTTTTTTGAATTTTTAAATGTCATTCGATTTTTTTTTTTAATTTCATTGCATTCATAGATATGATAATGTATAAGATTGGTTTTTAATCTTATGTAAGTGGCCTTAAAATGATAATTGAGCTCTCATTTTTGTTATAATAATCAAAAGTTCGGCATACGTTCTTCAAACCATGGTAAGTGTTGTATTTCATGATTTTTTGCATATGAAATCGTTCTCTAGTTATAAAGAGGCAAGAATTGTGAAACATTTTGTTAAATACAACAAAAAAAAGCTGACTTCGGCTGTCCGAATCAGGTATAATAATATACGGCAACTGTCATAAGATGCTTATAATGTTTGTACATGTGTATGTATGTATATACATTGTAGGGGCCAGTATATCCCAATCGCTACATTGCGTTCCTACTGACATAATAATACCAAAGGCATCAGAGTCATTAAGATGCGTAACGACCATACATTCGTTTTGCAACTCTCACAAAGTTGAGAGCGTAAAAATCTAAAATAAAATGAGCTTGCTTGTATGAAAAACACAAGAACAACCCTGCAGTACCAGTCATCAGTACCCTGCAGTACCGCGTGTCATCAATATGCCACTGTCATCAACATGTCATCAACGCGCCGACTGCGACTTCTACTACGACGCTCTGCCCACGATACAGTTACGGCGGTGGTCTAGACGGCAGTCGTCGGCAGTACCATGGCCCGGCCGTTGAGAAATTTGTTGATGAAACATCGATGAATTGATGATGAATTGTTGATGAATTACCCTGGAGTACCAGTCATCAGTAATTCATCAACAGTCAAGGCGGTGTTGTTGATGATTCATCGATGAATGGCCATACAAATTGTTGATAAATTTAACATGGGCATGTCCTAGGCTGTCATCAACAAGAATTATTCGATGGTTCATCAACAATTCATCAACAAATTCATCAACAAATTCATCAATAACTCATCGATGATTCATCAAAAATTCATTAACAAATTCATCGACAATTCATCGACAATTCATCAACAATTCATCAACGGCCGGGCCATGGTACTGCCGTCTAGACTACCGTCGTAAATGTATCGTAGGCAGAGCGTCAACTCGGTAGAAGTCGCAGTCGGCGCGTTGATGACAGTCGATGACATGCGTTACTGCAGGGTAATTAACGATTCATCAACAGTCAAGGCGGTGTTGTTGATGATTTATCGATGAATGGTCATTCAAAATGTTGATGAATTTAAAATGAGAATGTTCTAGGCTGTCATCAACAACAATTATTCGATGGTTCATCAACAATTCATCAACAATTCATCAACAAATTCATCAACAAATTCATCAATAACTCATCGATGATTCATCAAAAATTCATTAACAAATTCATCGACAATTCATCGACGTTTCATCAACAATTCATCAACGGCCGGGCCATGGTACTGCCGTCTAGACTACCGTCGTAAATGTATCGTAGGCAGAGCGTCAACTCGGTAGAAGTGGCAGTCGGCGCGTTGATGACAGTGGCCTCTTGATGACATGCGGTACAGCAGGGTAGAGCGCGCTCTCACTGGCTATTGAACTAAATGTACATAAGAGAGCCTGAAGCCAGTCCAAAAGCCAGCACGAAAAATTCGTGTCCAAAAATTGTTTGGCGTTACTTATCTTCAAGACTCTAGTGTCTTAGGTAATATCCTTTGCAAGGGAACAAGAAACAAAAAAATCAATGACCTTGAAAAAATGTTTTTATATTTTTCATTTAGTAAATATAAAATATAATAAGAATACCTACCCAAACATTCAGCACACGGCTAGACAATAACTATTTAACTATTTATGTTGAAGAAAATATTTAATTATTATAAAATATATATGAAATTATGGAAAAGTAAAATGACCACCCCAATTTGAAAAATCTGAATTAATATGACTCTAATAGAGTTGGTATATATTTGTATGTACAGGTTTCACTCGAGTCACTCTTTCGGTCTCCCTTGATGACCGACCACTCTAATGTATTCAATTAAAACCATTTATAAACATAATAGTACACTTTTTGTGGTCGTTCTTGAACTTCGGTTCACTAAAAAAGTGCAGTCAGTATTGCCTTCTTTTGTATGCAGGAAGAAACATAATCAGAGCAACACATAAATATGTAACGCATAAATATATGCAAACAATATAGCAATTGTGCATAATGGCTTTGCTATATGTACTCTTATGTTCAAATGGTTATATACAACTATACAATTTTAGCGATAACAAATTACTTGAAAAGGAAGAAACATACCTATTTTACATATGTATCTTTGATATTTATTTGGGTATTTATTTATATTTTATACATATATATATATATAGAAAATTCTATTTTTATGTGTATTTCATTTATGTTTGTTTTATGTTGCAAAACAATTTCGCACATATTTTGCTTATTTTCAAATGAATACGATTATTATTCACTGCCAAGTGGCACATAGTTAGCATTAATATTTTTTTGTTTTTAACTTGCGCATAAAGTACCGAAAAAACGGGAGAATTTAAGGTAGATTGAGTCAGTAGGTGGGCTTGCAGCTACGTGCTGTGGATGTCGAGATGGAACTGAGCAGCTGATCAGCTGTGTACTTTGATAACGAAGTAAGAGTGAATTCCTAAGAGTCGGTTTTAAAGTCAGTAGTCCGCCCACAGACTACAGATTATTTTATAATACATAAAATATATTGAAATAATTCATTTCCTGAACAGTTCAATGCGTCAAGACGGATCGTCTTATCAAGACGTTTAAACTAAAATAACATCTCAGTTTTGATTTTTGTGATCTTCGGAATGCCACCTTTAAATATTTCTAAAAGGTTCGCGGTAAAAAACCCATGGTTATTCAATTAACTGACCAACTCGTTCCGTTCTACAGTTTTGGTTAGATTAGCTTTTAAGCACGATTACTACAAAGCCAACTTTTAGAGTAAATTGTGACTCAGGCACACCTAATAATACATCTAATAATAATTATTATAATGTGTTGCTTCATCTTTATTTTAATATTTCAATGAAGTGTACCATCTAATTTAAAATTATGTATTATATTTTGAATGGCGAAAATGTTCCGCTTTCTCAACCATTATTAATTTTTGTGGTTAGTATGGTTTGCATGATCGTCAACAATTGCTAGATCTTCCAAGTACTATCCATGTATGCCTCATTGTGCAAATTATGATTTTAGGAGGCAGATTTTTTTATTTATTTAAATGCCTATTCAGCCGTAGAGCGTCTTTAAAATAATGTATGTATGTATTTGCCTACCAGTTTTGCCAGGGCCATCCCGTATACATATATAAACTACCATGTCCATCATCAATTGCCTTTATTAATCTATCGTTAACTTTATGATGTAAAGGTGCCCATATTATAGATTTAATAATTAGCATAACAAACGGACTACATTTAGTTTTGGTAAAATCCTTAGGTATGTTGTTTGGTCACACTTGATTCACACTCGACCTCTTTTGTTTATGTTTCCGATGTGGTTTGTAGTGATGCAAGTTCGACGGAAAATCTCGATGTCGATGTCCGTCGATGTTTTCAAAATAACCAACCATGCATCACTTAATATCGGTATAAAAAAATATCAAAAAGCTTCGGAAAACATCGCCAAACAAAACATCGAGGTTCGATGCATCGATGAATTTTGCAAAAAAATTGCGATAAATAAAAAGCTTTGTACTATTAGTTTATTTATGAGTGAAAACTTCAAACACATAGTGATTATATATTTCTATATTTTTTAAATATTTAAAGCACAAAACTTAAAAACAAATATAACTACGCATCCATTGTAATTTTTCAATATGTTAGAGATTATAAATAGGCACACAAACTTAAAAAATAATAATGCTTTCATAGCAGTCTTTTCATTTAGATGGAGACCATAAATAGGCAAAAACCTAAAAATAATAAAATAAAAAGTACGCAATGTTGTGAAATTAGAGACCGATGTTTCGAGAAACATCGATGCATCTGTTAACATCGGTATCAACAAAAACATCGAAAAACCTCGGAAAACATCGATGTTTTCATCATCACTAGTGGTTAGATGGGCAACGTGTTTCATCAACAATTCATCATCATACAACAGTAAATGCATATTGTATATACTGAAATTCATATATGCAAATCAGTGGCACTACATATTTTAAAAACTGGAATTATAGAGATAACAGTGGAATTACAAGAAAAACTGTGCAATTAAGCGGTTTACGTGGAAAAAAAAGTAAAAGTTAAAATTGAATTAAAAAAAAACTAAGCCCAAAAATAAATTTGTCGACCGAAAATATTGATTTATTGTTTATAAAATGTTAATGCATTATCCATAAATCAATTATAAATTATTGTTGATGCCAGCC